ACAATACGGGTTTACTAGTGGTAGATCGACTAGCGATGCGGGGGTAGGGTTACTAAAACACATCTTTGATGCTTGGGAAAATTCCCAGAACGCTATTGGTGTTTTCTGTGACCTCTCAAAGGCACTTGATTGCGTTGATCATATTACTGTTATTAGGAAGCTGGAACATTACGGTGTAAATGGCAAGGCGTCGAAACTTGTCTCATCATATCTCAATGGTAGAATTTAGAAAGTAGACATAAATGGAGTGACTTCTTTGGGTTCTCTGGTAAAAATGGGTATTCCGCAGGGCTCAATCCTTGGACCTTTCTTATTTATATTAATGATCTACCATTCTTTGTTAAGGACCATTGCGAAATAGTGTTATTTGCTGATGACACATCCTTGATTTTTAAAAGAGACAGACATGACATTATCTATGACCATATTAATGATACCCTCTCTAAGGTAGTTTATTGGTTTAATGCTAACAATTTATTGCTTAATGCCAAGAAGACAAAATGTGTCAAATTTGAATTACCTAACGTAAAATCGACTAGTCCAAGCATAGAAATAAACGGAGAAAAGCTGGACCTTGTTAATAAAGCAGTCTTCCTGGGAGTGACCTTAAATAGTAAACTTCAATGGTTTCCACATATATCTTCCCTGGCCAGCAGATTAAGCTCCGCTGCATACGCAGTCCACAGAATACGTGAGCTTACCGATGTTAGTACTGCTAGACTAGTTTACTTTAGTTACTTCCATAGTATAATGTTATACGGGATTCTCATGTGGGGTAAAGCGGCAGATGTTCAAACCATATTTGTATTGCAAAAAAGAGCGATTCGTTCTGTGTACCGTCTAGGCTCTCGGGTTTCTCTCAGAGAAAAGTTTAAGGAGACTGTTATCATAACTGTGGCATCACAGTACATTTACTCAAATATTTTATATGCCCGTAAAAATATACATAATTTCAATAAGAAAGCAGATATCCATAATATTAACCTTAGAGCTAAGTCCAAACTCATGGTACCAGGATTTCGTTTATCCAAGGTAAGCAACTCTTTTATGTATACGTTTTTACAATAAGATTCCGGAGCATATATTAAGTTTATCATTTCTTAAGTTTAAAAACTACATTTAAAATGTTTTGATCGAAAAATCATATTACAAAATTGAAGACAACGTGTTAGATAAAGATGTATGGAAAGACAACATGGCTCCAGAATCCACACAAATTTGATTCAAAGCGTATTCCATAGCATTTAAGTTTATTTGAAAAGAGCAATCCCTAGAGTTTCTTGCTCGTTCTTCTCAGGGAGGTCAGCGTAGTGAACGAGCAGTAGCTTAAATGTGACGTTTACAAGTGTAAATTTGTTATGCCTATGGAATAAATAATCTTTGACTTTGACTTTGACTTTGAATGCATATCGCATAGGCTCTGCGCAAACGACTAAGGGAGGAAACTATTACAGCCCCTACTATTACAGCAGGAAGTAAGGTAGGAAGTAGTAACGACAACAGCGGCATGACGTCTGTTCGAAACGAACGTGCGCTGCAACTGAAAAAATGAATGCCGGATGTTTTACTCCGGCGTATCGTGCGCAGTGTGGGGTTCTCTTCTCCCCTCTCTCTCTCTCTTTCTCTCTCTCTCTCTACGGGGGTGTACTTTCATTCATCGGCTCGACTGGCATGGTAGTTTCGACTAGGTAACCATACATAATCGATTATTGTACCTTGGAAAAATAATGTTAATGTGAAAATTTTACCTATCAATTTTTTTTCAAGAATGGTGCCTTCGAATGATACATAATTCGTAGAAAAAATTTGGCTATTGATAAAAAATCACCCCGTATAGACATTGAGTTGTATGATGTTAAAATGCTTAGCTAATCTTTCTATGATGCATGCGTTTATCCCATCAAAACACAGGTAAGTGTAAAAAAAACTAAAGATACGTAGATTGCCCAAGCTTGTTATATCAACCACAATCCTGCGTGAACTTGGATATTTGATGAATTTCACATGCAGAATAACACATGATATGAATATGAAATAACAGCATTTTTATGGACTAAGGCCTAAACCCTCGCCTGAGAGGACACCCGTGCTCAGCAGTGAGACGTATTTTATTTTTTAATTATGGTAAGTACAATTACAGACATCAGATACAAACAATTAAAAAAAACACAATAAAAATTAATACTTCGTCACGAATAATAATGTATCTTTGGTCAAATAAAGATGTATATATTTAACAATATATGTATAGGTCCATATTTAGTAGCAGTAGAGCTTCTTGTGAAAGAGTTCGTCCGTGGATGTACTGCTACTTTATCATTTCTGCCGCCAAGCAGTAATGTGAACATTACGACGTTTCTGTTTTGAAGGATAAAAGTGCTGGTGAAATTACAGACACATCGGGCTTGTCAACTCACGTTTCAGGGTGACAGGCGCAATGGTAGTAAGAGATGTTGTATTTTTGACATTCTTGACATTGTTCACGAAATAAAGTTAGTTGAGTCAGGTGAGCACGTTCAGTCAGCTGATATCAATTGTGTTAACGATATCCGACGCGAAATCGTAGGCCTCCAGATTACTTCACGTATAGTACTCTTGTAGGCGAGGACAGCATTGAGCCGGAAAGTTATCGTGATGCAATCACGGGGATTGACAAAGATAATGGATCTCTGCCATGAATGAAGAGTACAATGCCTTACTTAAAAAACGCACATGGTCTTTAGTAGATAAGCCACATCATAAGTCCTGTACTCCGTGCAAGTGGGTGTACAAAATGAAACGCGATGCGGAAGATAACGTAATAAAATATAAAGCTAGTTTAGTAGCGAAAGGTTATCGACAAAAGGAAGGTGTCGATTATTATGAAATTTTCTCTCCGGTTGTACGCAATTCATCATTGCGAACTGTTTAGCCCTTACAGTGCAGGAAAATTACAAGATCCGGCACATAGACGTAGATACAGCCTTTCTAAATGGCGACTTGCAGAAGTCTACATGGTACATGAGAAGGATTTATTCAAAAAGGGCAGGAAGGAAAGGTATGCTTATTAAAACGGTCTCTGTGTGGCTTGAAACAGGATCCCAGAGCATGGAATACTAAGTTAAAGCAGACCTTGAGCGAAATAGGATTTACTCAAACTCCGTCTGAACCTTGTGTTTTCACAAAGAATTTTCGAATTTTTTTTCATTTTGTTATATTGTACAAAAATGACACAACATTTGAAAACTTCAAAAATGACTTGGAAAAACATTTTTCAACGAAAGATCTTGGTTTGATAAGTTTCTTTACAGGAATTAATATTTCACGTGACGAGAATGGGTTGAAATTATCCCAGAGTACGTATATTGAGACTGTTTTAAAGAAATTTGATATGCAAGACTGTGAAGGTGTTTCAACACCACTTTTTAAAGGGAAATTAGAACCTAACGTGGGTAAATCTAGTTTCCCTTATCAGGAGCTGGTTGGGTGCCTCATGTACTTGGCGGTCAACACGAAGCTCGACATAGCCTACACTGTAACTTATCTTAGTCAGTTCAACACCAGTTTTGGTGAAATACATTGGAAAGCTGCGAAGCGATGCCTTCAATATTTAAAGAACACTAAAGATTTTGGTATTACTTACAGAAAAGCAGAACTTGATAAGCTGCAGGCTTATTCGGATGCAAACTAGGCCAATTGCCCAGTAGATCGACGGTCTTACACCGGTTTTTATTTTCAAGTCGGTGGTGGTCACATATCCTGGGAATCTAGAAAGCAGCCCACCGTTGCTTTGTCTTCTGCGGAAGCTGAATATATGGCTTTAGCTTCAGCAACTAAACTAAACGACAGTCAGAGTATACAAAAGTTATGAATCCAGTTCATCATAGTCGAACTAAACACATTGATGTCAGATTTCATTTTGTCAGGGAAAAAGTAAATGACAAAACTGTAGAACTTATGTATATGCCTACAGGTCGTTTACCAGCTGATGCTCTAACTAAAGCTTTAGTTTCTTCTAAACATTTGAACTATTGTAAAGGCATGGGTTTAACTTAGTGATTACTAAGCGGTATTTTAATTGTGTTTGATTAAAGGAGCATGTTGTATTAACTATTTGGTAGTTAATCAAAACATTTTAAAATACGAACTCTGTCAATGTAACAGTTCAGCCTTGCACATTTTTGTACACCACACATTCATTTAAAATCCTTTATACTGTTTGTTTGTCTATATTTATTAATCATAATAATAAATAGTAAACAGTTAGGTTTGGTGTCTCTCTAAACCCGCAACTTCCCAACAAAACCAGACCGTCATTTTGATTGTAATAGTCATTGGTTTTATAATACGTATAACCTGTCATTGTATGGAGTAATTGCATAAGTAAATACAGATGTTATTACTGTTTACCATATCAACATGCTTTTTCGCTAAAAATCCGAATGCCGCATTAACATTGTCTAATTGAAGAAGTTATTTTTGCGAAAATTGTTAAATAATTGACACAATAGGACTATAATAGTTTACGTAGTAACTATTAAGTAATCTGTTCTATAGCTAGAACTGAAATCTGTACACTATATTTTTTTTTCTAAAGAAAATCCACTGTTTTTAATACTCTGTACTGGTATGATCATTTCATTTATCAATACAATATTGACTTAATTAATTAAATGGTATCAGAGTGAAAAAATGCACACGTAACAAGTATCGATAGCTTATACAATGACTAAGTTGATACTATTCGGAGCCCTTGGGCCTTGTGACCAGTATTGTATTTATAGAGTATGCTGATAACAAGGGTATGTTTTATAGTATTTTATTTTATTTGGATAAATAACAATAATGTATAATGTCTTTGTATTCAGTATATAGATGACTTTTTAACACTCTCAGCGCCACTTTTGCCGACACACAGTGGGCACAAGGTGATAATTCGTGCTAATAGGAACGATATAAAAACAAGAGTCTTCAGAGGCTCTTTAAGTCAGTCTTGCTCGAAAGTTCTACGGCAGAAGCGTGGAATGGAAGCGTGGTAGTACTCTTCTCTTCTCTCTACTTTTCAAAAAGGAAGATAACACCCTACTGAAGAACTACAGGCCCATCTCGCTTCTAAGTCACGTTTTCACGAGTCATCACAAACCGTCTCGCGCGCAGATTTTATGACTTCCAGTCCCTCGAACAAACCGGTTTCCGAAACAGCTTCAGTATCATAGACCACATCCACACGCTGCGGCAGATTATACAGAAGACCGAGGAGTATAACCTGCCATTATGATTAGCGTTTGTGATGTATGAGAAAGCTTTTGATTTGATCGGGATTTGGGAGGTGCTACAATCTCTACAACGATGCCACATTGTCTAGTGATATATCGAAGTGTTGAAGTGTTTGTACAGAAACGCCACTATGTCAATTCGACTACAGAACCTATGCACAAGACCTATCCAACTGCAAAGAAAGGTGCGACATGGAGACGTCATTTCTCCGAAACTGTTCACCACTGTATTGGAAGATGCCTTCAAGTTACTGAACTGGAAAGGACTCGGCATCGACACCAATGGCGAGTACATCACTCACCTTCGATTTGCTGACGATATCGTGGTCATGGCAGAACCTTTGGAAGAGTATGGCACCGTGCTCGGTGTCCTCAATAGAGTTTCCCAGCAGGTTGGTCTAAAAATGAACATGAACAAGTCGAAACTTATGGCAAATATCCATGTCGTACCCACTCCTATAACAGTGGAAACCTATACTCTTGAAGTTGCTGACGAGTATGTCTACCTTGAACAAACCATCCAATTAGGCAGAGCTAACTTCGAGAAAGTGATCAATCGTCGAATCCGAATCGGTTGGGCAGCTTTCGGAAAGCTCCGGGACGTCTCCTCGTCTGCAATACCGCAGTCCTTGAAGACAAAAATCTTCGAGCAGTGCGTGTTGCCAGGGACGACCTACGGCTCTGAGACGTGATCACTTACTATAGGCCTCATAAAAAAGGTCCTAATATTGATCCTTGCGGAACTTCCATGTCAATTTTTTCAACATCAGAAAATATGCCTACCAAATTTACACACTGATTTTTATATTACAGACTGAGTTCTATTCGAAAGATAGGACTTCATTTAACTTTGTTCCTTATTCTTAAAGCCGTAGTATTCTAGTTTTTTTTACAAGAATGTCATTTCGTGGGCAGTCGGAAGCCTTCGACAAATCACAAAAAACACTATTACACTTTTGGGCTCTACCTAGGGATTCTAGTATCAAGTATACGACTTTTCTGATCGCAATTTCTGTGGAACTTCCTGTTCTAAAGCCACATTGGCAGTCTACGAGCAATTTATTAACCTCTAAAAATGATGTTATTTTTCTTTTCAATGTCGATTCGAAAATTTGTAAGGCATTCAGTGGCATGTTTAGTAAAGTATCATTTAGCAAAATCACGCATTTCAGCACCCTAGTGTCCATATTATATATATCTTTAGATCGTTTGTTTTTTAAGTTCTTTATAGTCAGAGTAAGTTCGTTCATTGTAATATAGTAAAATTGGAAGTTTGTTTAGGTTCTTTCATTATACGTAGTTACGACATACATTTATCGATATTTATAGATAATGTTTCACTGACTTTATATGATACAGTCGTGAAATATTCATTAAAATTATCTGCTATTTCTTTTTTACCACATTATCCGTTTTATTTTTTATTCTATCTATTATTGCTCTTTTTACATTTCTTTTAGTCTGTTCGTTTACTATTTTCCAAATTTCTTTTATTTTATTACTGGATGCTTGCATTCTTTTCATATAATCAAATTTCTAGCCGAGATCATTCATTACTTTTTAAGAGTCTCATTATACATTTTCAGTTTAGTTTTTTTTTTTGGGTAAGGATATGTACATTGAGAATTTCCATTTTTGACAGATTGTTTTTTGATATTAATATACCTTTAGTCTTTAGTTTTATTACAAAATAAAAAAAATACAATAAAGCATAATTGGCATTTGATCTAAACCTAACCTAAGTTAAATACAATTTATTAATACCTGTGTAAATCAAGCAGTTCGTGTGCGACCGACAGTTTCCGACTGGCATCATTTAACAGCTGATGTTCCGCACGCAAAGGTGGAATTCTGTTACCACTTTGTTTTCTCTTTTAATTGTCTTTCTTTCTCACTTAAATGACTTGCAGATTTAAGCGCAGGCATCTGCTCAGGATATTAATTCGCCTATTTCTCAAATCGATTGCAGCCTTATAACTCAAAATGCTTGAAGTGATTAACAAAATAGACCCACCATTTTGTCAAAAAGTGATTAAAAACTTTGATGAAAGAAACGACATTGTAACTGTGGTCGTGGTGGACATTTATCAGATACCATTTTTCATTGATAATTGTTAAACCTCACTTTTTTAATACAATAAAAATTTGAATCATTGTCATCTAAATTTATTGTTTTATTTTGATTTTCAAAACAAAGTTCCTGTTGAAGAACCTTATATCTAAACGTTTCAGAATACGACTTTAAAAAATCCTACTATATGTTTAGAATTTTTATGGAAAGTTACCCTACACCTTACAAACAGTAGAGCTAGCACGACAGGGCGCGACTTGCGCGAGATTGACATACAACGCGAGACACTGCTATTCTCGCATAGATATCTCGCGCTTTATTTGTCGCTCTCACGCAAATCGCGCTCTATCGTGCTAGCTCAACTGATAGATAAATTATTGTATAAAGAACAAAAATATTTATCTTGTCTGTTTATAATGCCGTCATACAATTATATTCATCAGAGGTTAATGACACGTTGAAACAAAAGGTGTTTTTTGTATATTATTTTATTTATTTTTCAATTGTAGAAAATTGCCAGTGTAATTTCCTATTTACAGTGTGATTTTTTTAAATGGGACGGTACGGGGAAATCCGAAACCATAGGTGATACAGGAAATCCTGTCTTAGGAACCATAAGGCGAGTCACTGAAGGAGAACTAGGAAAAAGTGTTTTGCCAGATCAACAAACAACGACCTACGCTCCCTCTCCACGACAACATCGTCCTCCTTACCACAGTAACAGATGGTATTTTAACCGACTTCAAAAAAAGGAGGGGTTCTCAATTCCACGGTATGTTCTTTTTATTTTTTTTGGATGTTCGTTACGCGATCACTCCGAACTTTATGAACCGAATTTGATTATTTTTTTGGAAAGAGGGTACCTCAGTAGTGGTCCTATATAATTTTGAAGAAAACATTTCATCTCGAAGGTTGGCTGTTCACGCGTGAAGACTCACTTTTATAAATAGCGCCTAAATTTTGTTATAAGGAGCAATAATTTTAATTGTTTATTTTGCTGCCCTTCAAATTGAAGGCGTTTTTCTCTCTCAATGTACTTTAAGCAGTGAGATGCGATTTTTATGACGTTGGTGACTTGAGAAGCTGTAATTATTTATCAGCATTGCGCAGATTCACGTAAATGTGTGTGTCCGTAGCACCCGTCGCGGACACGGACACGGACAGGGTTTCCCTAGTGCGGGGCTATGTTGAGCATATGCGGTATTACATGATAATTTGGACAAATGCTGTATAAAGCTCTTCAAAAGTTAAGTTACAATTGCCCAACACTCTTTGTCAATGATATTTGGTCGACTTTACACCAGCCTCCCATATACCTCCGAAATATGGCGAATAAGCTGGAAT